GTTTGCAATCAGACTCGCTTTCTCTTCCACTCTGCATACATGCAAACAGTTGGCGATTCACACTGGCGCTCAGCACCCACACAAAGGCTCGGCGATATGGCAAACGAGAACACAGTTCAGATGTAAACTCGCTTCAACAAGCTATGGCGCCTTAGCGCCTTCACAGAACAGCTCTCGCCACTTCGTTCAACACCACTGTTCACACATATACTCAACTCAACTCTGGATCACCCTGAATACCACCACACACACACACTAACCTATCGCAGCTATGGCCGCTCTACCCCTACTGACTATGGCTACGAGATCACTTCTCAGCCCACTTCGTCTTCGGGCAACCTGCAGACCACCTTCGCATAAGACGCTGTAGCGGCGCTTCTGCATTGCTTCCGCAGCGAATGAATGAATGGATGGGCGCTGCCTCTTGATTTGTACTTCCGCAACTCGTTGGTCTGCTCCTTTCCACCGGGCCCCTGGTGCACACAGTCCCTCATGGTACTTTCTTGACTGGACTGGGACTGACTGGACCGGTACCGCCGACTGCATGGGTTTGCACTGCCAACTCGATGCAGTCGCACTGCCGACGTAACGCAGTTGGGCTCACCACTTGCCCACTTGCCTCTGACTAAACGTGAGGCAACTTCGAAAGGCCACTTCCGGACCTTCCGGAAGTCCGTAGACTTGGCCTTTCGAGTACTGTAGCAGCTACGACCTTGACCTTTCAGGACTGTAGCAGCTACGACCTTGACCTTTCAGAACACCTACAGCTACGACCTCTACAGAGCTATGACCCCTACTCGACAGGTCTACAGATCGAACCCCTACAACTACACAGACCTCTATGACAGACATCAAACAACTACCAAAATACAGGTCGCGGGTTCAAACACTCGGGGTTTGACTCGATACTGTATACAGGCAAGGTAAGGTCTGGGGATCGAACTCTGGTGCCCGCATCTGTGACTGCAGATAGGTGAAAACCGTTTCACGTTTTTTCAGAACATCTCGGTTTGTGGCGTTGAATACGGACTATAAAGGTGGCGAAGCTCGGCCAAGGATCGACGACGTGGATCAACACGGAACTCCAGTTGGCCTGATTCTTCGGGGGGCTGGTTCCTGAAGGGATCACTGGGTCTTCACATTCTTCTTCAGCAGCATGGACTTTCACGTGGACAAGGAACAGCTGCAGGACCTGATCACTCCCCGCGAATAGATCGGAGCTTCTTTTATTTTTTATTTTTTTTTACAGCTGGAAGACGTGATCGAGGGTGATGAAGTGGTATAGCCCACAAGAGCCATGATGCCCATCATGCGCCAGCTGCTGCTGCTGCTCACGGTCTTTTGCTCGCTCACTCTTTGCCTTGCGCTGGTCCCTAATCTGCTGATCGTCAGAGCGCTCATCTGGGTCTGCCAGACCGAGCTAGTCTTCCTCTCCTTAGCCCACGTGGCATCCTTGCTCATCTGCTCTGCCATCTTCTTTCTTGCCATGCTGTGCACGCCCGTCATCACCGCAGCCATCATCATCTCGCTCCTGCTGCGACAAGCGGCCGAAGGGTAGGGGCATGGAAGACGGGATGACGGAGAACTAGAGCAGAGGGATAGACCGGCTTCGATAAGCCATTTTGCTCCTTCCCAGTTTGCACGCTTGATCTGCAAAGCTCGGTCAGTGATCGCGCCAGGCTTGGCAGTACTCTGCACAAGAACTCCTGCAAGAAGAGATGGCAACGGATGAGAGGCACAAGAGGACAGCCATGGAACTGTCTACCTGCGCATTTCTAGTGTACCTATTGCTGCTCTCCCTTCTTGCCTTCCTCTTCTTCCTCATCTTGCTTCCAAACTTGGGCACACAGGTCTTCATGCATAGCATGCTCAGTCCGACCCCAACGCTGCGCTCGCTTCATCCTCTGCAGCCTCCTCTGCCAGCCTATGAGCGACCAGTGCCTTCTAGCCCCCCCGCCCCCTCGCGCTGCGCCATGACCTCCTCTCCTCCTTTTTCTTCTTTTTCTTCTTCTTCTTCTTCTTTTTCTTCTTCCTCTCCGTCTCCTTCCTCCCCTTCTTCATCTTCTAAGTCCTTACCTTCCAACAGAGAGGAAGGTGCCTCATCTGATGACGCCACCGGTGGCAGGCGGGAGAAATGCCTCAGGGAAATGCCACCCCTCCTGTGGATCTGCTTCGAGGACCCTTCCATGGTACACGGAAAGAGGCGTCCGTATAGCTTGGTGCAGGCTTCTCTTCTCTCCTTCTACTCCCAACTTCTTCTCTTCTCCATCTCTGTGAGCGCAAAGGCTCTCGGAATGGTGCAGGAACTTGATGCGATATTTGTCGCTGAGCTTGGAGAATAAGGATGTTTTGGATTGGTGGGGCTACTCTTCGAGCTTTCTTCGAAAGACTAGCAAAATGCTTTCCTTGTTTTGGATTGGTGTGGCTACTCTTCGAGCTTTCTTCGAAAGACTAACAAAATAAATTGTGTCCTTACATGCTTTTTAACAAGTTTTATTGTCTGCTTTTTTCTCGTTCTTTTAATGCTCTCTTGGCAGTGAGTGCTTTCTTTATGTCTATCCATGAATTGAAGAAGCTTGTTCTGTCTGAAAGAATCTTCGCCTGACAGTTCTCTCGGTGCTTGTGTTTTCCCTAGGCAGATGATGCCGCTGATCCCCTTCGCGCATCCATAAGTCAAAACAAGTAGGACGTATGGATTCGCGGAGTTCGCCTTAGGAGAGAAACGATGCTCCCTCTTGTCTTGAGCAAGCGAGGGATGACGAGTGCTGCACACATGGACCCTTCTCTTTTTGGAAAAGTTTGGCGTGAGCATGTAGTTTTTTTTAAAAATGAATGCATGTGGACGACTTCCTTCCTCGCTTAGGTTTCCCTCCAAAAATCTCAGCTGTTTCGTAGGATGGAACTTCCTTCGGTGTGATTTAAACACAGTCATGCTCATGATTGTTTCCATTCCTGAATGCATGCATGCATGCGGTCTCACTCCTTCATGGGCTCATTTATCCCCTGTAAAGAGGAGCTTATGAGTTCGTGAAGCGGACTTCTGAAGAGATTTGAAGCGTTTGTCCTCCTTGAGTATTTTTCTCTTCTAGCTTCTGAAGGATTGTTAACGGCCGGAGATGTTCAAGCTCGCACCCCGCTGAATAGCTGTCTAAATATGGTACCGCTCTGAATTTCTTTTTACTTCACGATCTTCTCTAATGTGCCTCACTTCTGTGGGTTTGAGCGTACCTTGATGACTGACTTCCATCAGTAGTTACTGTGCAATGCGCTTATCACTTCTATCAAGAATACTACCCACACTACACATCTGCACAGCGCCACCTGAAAAAACATGGCCCCTGTAAATGCCCATCTTGCCACGTCTGAACAATGCCATACCTATGCAGTTTTGGAGTACAAGGTGCGCCATTGGCCAGTCATTGGAAAAATGCATGACGAAGGTAAATGGATCATGGCAGAAATACGTGCACTAGAACGAACACACACACACACACACACACACACACACACACACACACACACACACACACACACACACACACACACATCATCATCATCACACACACACACACACACACACACACACACA